TTTCAAAAGCATAATTAATTAAAATACAACGCTTATTTGGGTCTTGTCTTTGAAATATTAAAGGACAAAATTAATTTTATCTAAAAGGAGATAAAAATAATGTTTTAATATGCAAGTTTTAAAAAAGAAATGATTTTCATACACATCAAAAGGTTTGACACTGGAACAAAAACAGCTGAAACTACATGAAGAGGCGTAAATAGCACTATTAATATTACATTTATAAACAGAACAACAACTTTTTAAGCAGAATTGTGATTAGAGAATGCTAACCTTTAATGGTCCATATGACAAACATATCCCCAGCCTTGTAGGTTTATATAATACAGATTGATCAATCTCCAAAATAGGAAACCATATTAAAAAAATTGTAGAATCCATATCATAGCAGCAAATTCAAATATTCCAAATAAAAGAAAAACAGAACTAGAAACCAAATCATAGTAGCCAAATCAAAGAAAAACAGATCATAGAAATCAAATTATTGAAAAGCAAATGATAGAAACCAAATCATAGAAACCAAATCATAAAAAACCAAATCATAGGATTCAAATCATTAAAAAACAAATCATAGAAACCAAATCATAAAAATAAAATCATTGAAAAACAAATCATATAAACCAAATCATAAAAACAAAATCATAGAAACGAATAAATAAAAATCAAATCATAAAAATCAAATCATAGAAACCAACTCATAGAAAAACAAAAACAAAATAGAAACGAGATCAGATAAAGCACACAATTAAGGTTGTACAAAGAAACTAAATGATGTCATTTCATTCATAGAGAGCACATTTTAGAATAAAAGGAAGCTTTGGTCTAAAACAATAAAATAGTCATATCTTCAAATGCAAGATACAAATAAATGTAGAAACTGAATGTAGACAAAACTTCTAAATTATCCGGACAAATTACAAAATTATAACACAGCATATGTGAGCAAGCTATTACTAATGCATTTTTAAATTAGCTATCAAATCAGTGTAACTAATACAAATGCCAATAACCTTTTTATTCGGATTTTTTTAAAAATTGTTTTACGAGATATTGAATTTTTTTTTTTTTATCAATGTCATTTTATCCCTGGGATTAATATACGAGATTAACAAATTCCCAAATAATGTAATAGATAAACAAGCGCATGAACCAATACCGTGAATAGAAATTTCCCTATAGTTAAATCAGTATATAACACTATTCTATAACAAATGTCCAAGTTTAAATAACTATGGATGAAACGGGTGCAGTGTTTTTTTACACCGGGTCCGGGAATTTTAGTAATAGGCCTATTGACAGTCCTACACTTGGCCTATCTGCTTTAAAAAAATTAGTGCACCACACAGTTCTACAGGCGGTCCTACAGACAGTCCTACAACATACCCCTGGTTCTTTATTGGTTAATGTAATAGTCGTCTCCCGATTGAGATTTTTTAAAATCTGGTTTCACACGTCACGACTGACAGGCTTTTTTTTTTCACTCAGTTCTATTGATATGAAACGTGTTGCGTAGGGGTTGGGGGTGGTCAAAAAAGGAAGCAGGACACACCAGCAGAAGAAACACATCTATAAGAGATGTTTGATTATTTTTCCCTAAAATCAACAGAGTCGCCCTCGAAAGATGCTTTACTTAAACCAACTTTAACAAGCAACACAGTGTACAGTGTTAAGTATGAAGGGGGAAGTAAATTAGTACAGAGAATAGGTTCGTGCTTTTTTTTTCATTTAGTAATTAGCCAAGCAAACACGGGCGCCCTCCATTATCGCGTCGGACGAATATTAAGTGGATGTTTTGTTTGCGTTTACACGTTTACACGCCAATCTAATTAAACTTGAAGTGCGCTGTTTGTGTCCTGCCCTTGTTTTCAAGGCCTTTCCCTTTTAAAACAAAACATCCCTGTGCATCGAAACAAAAATTAATCACGCAATGAAATTGAAAATATTCTCTGAATATTTTGTGTAGGTTTTCATGAACCAGATTAATTTTCACCAGATACAGCAAAATTTCTGATTTGCATTAAGTGATTTGGTAGATTTAAAAATCCAGTTGACAGTTGTATAATTGAGCTGCGGAAGTACACGGCGCCTTCGTGCTCCAAGAATTAAGAGCGGAGTTTCTTTCAGCTATATCGCGGGGGGGGGGGCACTACCCCCCCCCCCCGGGGAAAGCCAAGTGCCCCCGGGGCAAAAATATGTCCAACAATAAATCAAATGGCACTGCTGGCACTGCACCGAAAACTCTGATGTGCCGACCCCGGGAAAAATTTCTGAAATAATCACTGATTAAGAGACCATGACCCTGGGGTTTTAGGAACACATAAATAACCATATGCTTTTCAACGACTAAATTAAACATCCTTTAAACATTATTTAAACGCTGTTGCCAGACAGCTGTGCATGCCACGGGATTCGCTTAACTGGAGTGTAATGCGGTGGTCTGAAAGCGCGTCAAGCGAATGAGAAACTGCTCATTGCCAAGTTAGTCCGAAAAAGTTTAAATTTTTTTGTATTTACTTGTTAAATCGGTCAAAAGTTGGAGGCTATTTATTTCTTATCGTCATAAATGCTTATCATTGCATTCAGTTATTATTTTTTTAAAGATTATGACATCCAAGTAAATCCATGGAGAAATATGTTTAGGCCGTCCTTTATGAACTCGAACAAAAATAAAGTTTTAAGGTTTACCTATCGGACAAAACAACGCACAGTTGATTGATTATTGTAAATTGACGTCGTCTCGGATCATCAAAAGACACTCGAAGGAAAAAAAAGTGAAACCTTAAGAAAACTAATAGCGGCTAGATCTCAGGTGGTGTGTCTCAAGTTAATATATCTATCTAACTGAAAAATCAATCGTAATAACAAACTGCTGATTAATGCTTAAGAATAACTATAGGAGTGGGGGGGGAGGGGGGTCGGACGATCAATTTTTCCCCCCTGACCTCACATTCACAAACGTTTCAAGTTGTCAAGTTCTACAGGTTAATATTAATCAAGCATTGCTTTAGGGTAAAATTGGGTATAGGTCCAATGCTCAATTTGTACATAGGATCATCAACGTTTTAGTCAATTGATACAATGTAGGTAAAAGAATGTGGACATGAAATCAACCTTCGTATGATGGAGAAAAAAAAAACCGCGAGAGTACAGGCGTTGTTTGTAATTCACAAAATGACGTCATCGTGCCATCACTGCACCTACGATAGGACTAGCTGTCTCTATCGACCTATAAAAATATCATTCTTCCATAACGTCTTTGGTAAATGTGCACAGCGCCCCCATAGAGCTTAATCAAAAATTCGCCCAAAAACACAAAATATTTTAATCTCTTTGAAACTATCTCTGCATACGAAGCCCAATGATTTGTTTTGTTGGTTTTTTTTATTTGCTGGTTTATCTAATAAGTCCTAATAAACTATTTCGCATGGAGAGCTTAAACGTTCGACATTTGTTCTATATTATAATAGACATAGCATAGACATAGCATATTCATAGCATATTCATAGCATAGAAATAGTATAGAAATAGCATAGATATAGCATAGGCATAGCATAGACATAGCATAGACATAGCATAGACATAGCATAGACATAGCATAGACATAGCATAGACATAGCATAGAGATAGCATAGACATAGCATAGACATAGCATAGACATAGCATGGACATAGCATGGACATAGCATGGACATAGCATGGAGATAGCATAGACATAGCACATACATAACATAGACAAAGAATAGACATAACATGGACATAGCATAGACAAAGCATAAACAAAGTATAGACATAGCATAGATATATCATAGACATAGCATGGACATAGCATGGACATAGCATGGACATATCATAGACATAGCATGGACATAGCATAGACATAGCATAGGCATAGCATTAGACATATCATAGACATAGCATAGACATAGCATACACATTGTCCCTTTGGCTTGGAACTCAAGTTGAAACGCGCTGGTTTTTTTCCAAATCGAGGCGTCTTATTTGATTTACAATTTGTTGTTTGTAACTTTATTAGTTATGTAATGTTTTTTGCTAGTAGAGCTCCTTTTTAATTAAAGCGTTGGCCCCTTTTTGGTATAATCTGATATTTTTTAATATTAAAGATATTAATATGAAAAGAAATGAAATGGGCCAACCTTCAGTTAATAAAAATGGCCATCTTTTGGGCAGGTCTTAAACACTTAATATATAATTTTGATAGTGTAAAAACTTAAAAACACAACTTGTCGACCTGACTCTCCACCTGGGCCACAAGACAATCCACCTGGACCACTCAAACTATTTTTAGCTTGTCAAGCTTGAATGTTTATTTATATAATTTTTATAGGTTTTAAAATGAGTAAAATCTTAGATAATTAGTTATAGATGTGGATCCTGACAGAGGCTCTCCGTTGATTTAAAATGTTAAATTTTACCAGTAATTTTTACTATTGGGCTTAGCTAACACATTAGGATAATATACCAGGGACTGCTTTTAATCGACGTGAAATAAATAGTAGAACTAAATAAATTTGGAAAAAATATGTCCTTTCCTTATGAGGCTTTGGCACAATAATAATATAATATGAACGGCAATGTCTGCCGAGATCTGTTAACGATTTTAATGGTACAACTTTGAAAGGTTAAATGCCCACTCAAAGGAATAAATATTACACTTTATGAACACATTTCTATTACCGATTAACATTGTTTAAAAAATTTAAACACCAACTTTAAAAAAAAGTATGTTTATGACACTTAATACACGCTTTATATGTAATACCTGTCAGCGTAACCCCGGAAAAGCCGGGTGTGGCATCTAGTTTACTGTAAATGAATTGTTCCCAAGACAAAAATGTCCGTGGCTAAAAATGATATCAGGTTTGAGACTTTACTATTTGCGATTTCAAATATAGTTCATGTGTTCAAATGTGACCATGTGTTTCCTTAAAAAAATAAATATGAACCGCCCCACACTGCATTGAGGACGTCCTAAAGACCTGCACCAGGATGTGTTGAAAACCACTCATGTACAGGCGGGACAACAATTCATAATTAACTTTAGGCAGGGCTAAAGCATTTGGTGCATTTATTTCTATTGTACATTGCTATCTGAAGCGTTGTTAGACAATGGCCTTCTTTGCTGGCCATTTTCAGCGAACGTTATTTATACAGCCACAACATATTTAAAGTTTTGAGTTACATAAGAATTTTGAAACATTTCGCACACCCAAGGTGAGGCTTTCTTTGTGTGTTCTTGTTCGCTTTGCTCTTGGTTAATTGTTCCAATTTTTTTATATTTTTTATACATTTCCTAGTCTGGCCACGATTCAATCATTAAGTGTGTTTAAAATAATGGGGCTTGGTAACGTTTTCATAATAGGAAATTTCAAAATTTTTATTGAGTTAAGAATTGTTTCCTATTTACATTTTATATTATTATGTTTACTATACACCCAGATAAATACGTGAACAAATGCCTGTAACGTATAATAAAATACTTTTCTCATTTGAATTGTTTCATTTACTTAAATTAAATTCTTTTATAGTGGTTTATATAAGTAGAGCATTAATGACAACAGCTTTTAAACTCATTATTAGTGGTATACATAAGTAGAGCAATATTGTCAACAGCTTTTAAACTCAGTATTAGTAGAATATATTAGTAGAACATTATTAACAACAGCTTTTAAACTCAGTATTAGTGGTCTATAAAAGTAGAACATTGCTGACAATAGCATAGAATGCGTGGCGTAGAATATTTGATTAATCGTTCTCAAATTTTTACACTGCAATAACGTCTCTAAATTTTTCAGCCATAATTCTGATAAAGATGGGTCATTGGAGCCGTTTTCTCACCTGTGTGCTTATCATGGCTGTGTGTCTCAAATCAGTGGCTATGACTGGGAATCATAATGTTTCTTTAAAATTGAAATATAACAACAGTTCATATGTAGACAATGTAACGGAAAGTCAGCTTTCAAGGTTAGTGAGTTTATAAATCTTCATTGAAAGTTTGAAAAACACACGCATAAAAATGACATATAGATATGTTTTTATTTATTTTAGGAACCATCATTAAAATATGGATAGATCTAAACGTGGCATACAATGGCAGCTCTATGACAAGATTTTTAAAAAAAAACGAAAATGAAAATTATCAATAATTTAACTAAAGAGAACCCGTTATTAAAATTTTCAAAGCTTTTAAGTTGACTAAAATAACTATAGATCCAATCAGAATTCCGAATTTTATATTATAGAAATTGTGAAATAATGGATAAATAATGCTGCAATAAGTATTACAAAGTATTTTTATTTTTTTAAAAATTAAAGCAAAAAATTTAAAAAAAAAATATATATATATTTTTTAAAGTGGTTAAAGTCTAAACAGTTTATATAGGAATACTTTAATCAATGTTATATTGCTAAAACATATCCCACTCAATGCTTAGTTTCATTGTTGAAAGGTGTTATTTAACAACGTGTTTCGTTTTCTTAGTATTGGCAAAATATATTTTTCAGCATCAACTTGCCGCATCTGTGTAACGTCTCAAAAAATCAAGTTATTGACAACAAAGAAGCAAGTACACATTTTAACATTCATTGCAAGGTTTCTCGACAGGGAATTAAACTCTCGATACCGTGCAATTTATCTGAGTCTTCTCAGAGATGTTTACCAGGAGTACATCTCAATCATAGATCTTGTCCTAACATCCCCGTGTTATTTAACAATGCGACGATCCTGTACCTTGATTCCAAAATCCTAAGTTTTCGCAACTGTTACTCTTGGCCGTTTGAAGTAATTATCATTGCAAGTTGCACTTCTGTGACCCTGATTATGATAATCTTCAGCTGTATCGTCATCATTCGAAAGTGTTTGAGAACCAAACCCAGTGAAATCGTTGCTGAAATAACTACATTAACTGTTTGTGTCGAAACTTTAAGTAAGCCTGAAGATGTCGCCTCTGGGGAAATCCTAACAAATAATAACATCTTAAGAACACCATCTCCAAAAATATCTGAAAAAATCAACAATATGCATTCGACAGTTGAAGGGGGCGTGAAAAAACCCGAACGAGACTCTTCATTGGCAGATTCAGGAACTAAACTTTTATCTGAAATACAAACGAGTAAATTTATTGATATGCGTCAAAGCGTCAGTGGAAATAGCGGTAGCAGCAAAATCGATTTCATAGATGAATGTAATGTCTACTCCTTCATTGCAAACGAAGACAGGGATGCTCTCCACGCTAACGCCCGAGATCCGAGATCTCAGCCACCAACACTAAGCACCATTGACAGCAGTACCACTGTGGGGACAACCAGAGATGGGGTAAATGACACGAGAGGTGTGTATTTTATTCTTGGTGAAGAAATTCGAGATTTTCAAAACCCGTACAATGAAACTCCGACAGTGAGAGACCGAAGAGACAGAGCATCATCGACCTGTGCAACGAATAGACTAGATTTGGTTCAGACTGAAAGAACTATGCAGTTGAAGTTGTGTGATACCGGGCCAAACGATGTCTACTCGAGGCTTGGAGAGGAAATCAGAGAGTTTGAAAATACTTATAACTTATAAGATGACTCCTGCTGAGAAGGAGACCTCGTCGTGTAACGAGTGAAGAGGATGTGGAAATAAATATTACTGTTTTTTTGCTTGAAAGCAAACGAGGCTCGTTTTCTTTGAGTAGATGAAAATTTTTCATTAACTAACTCAGATTTTAACCGTAAATGTCTGCTCATTAATGTACAGAATGATTGCACATTATATAGAGATTAACTATATAATATGTTCTTTATAAATCAATAAGGGCAAATATGTTTAGAACTTCCGTAGTGCACATGATTACATGGTAATATGTTTTACATACATATTATATGATGAATAAATTAGAGTTATATTTTTAATTTTGTTATACACGATTTGGATTTTAAGCACTCGGTGTCAGGACAAGCTGCCTAACACTGAGGTCTTGGAACGTGCACACATGTTTAGCATATTCTCCATTCTTAGCAAGAGGTGTCTTCGCTGGTTAGGCAACGTAAGGAGAATGTAGGAAGGATGTAACCCAAAGATGCTACTGTATGGAGAGTTGGCCGAAGGGACAAAAATTATTGGATGGCTACGCCAGAGATTTATGGACTTTTGCAAAAGGAGCCTGGGGGAAAGACATCATCTAAACATTGAATGGGAGCTCATTGCCGAACAACGTTCAAGCCAACGAACAGCAGTGTATGAAGAAGTAAAAGAAAAGGCAGAAGATACGTGAAACGAGACCCTTGCAACGAAAATAAGAATACGGACGTCAAATTCTTACAGGAATCATTATTCTCCCGCGAGATGCGGTCGAGAGTGTCATTGTAGGATTGGCCTAGTGAGCCACTCGTCAAATTGTAGGACTGCATAGCTACCCCATCGTCTCGCGAAGACGGAAGGATGCCATATAATACACGATCTAAAGATATACATATGATTTGTAAATTATATGTTAATTTCTGTTCAGATAATAAAATTAAATGACATGTATTAAATGATGATAGTTACATGTTGTACCTGGGTTAAAACTGGTATCATTGTTGTCATCGTATTAGAACCACTCGAAGTAGTGTATATTTATTATATCAGATAATATTAACTTAACTAAAGACTCCGTTACTTAAATGTAAACTAAGATACAGTCCATGAACGCGATTAGGAGTGGTAAATATGGATGTCATAGTCAGCTATAGCCGAGTTGGTCATTCAATAGATTCTATAGATGAGGCATTAGTTGATCATGAGTTATATCGTATATTTAATAAAATGTCCAATAATATAGAAGAGGAAAGTGGTAGGAAAACCTCAAACAAACATCGTGTAGAGCAGACTTCTAGCAAGACCCATGTTGCGCTTTTTAAATGTAGCTAGTAGTCGTAACTGAAAAATTGTATATGAGTAGGCCTATCAAAATGTAGAGAAAGTGGAGGCAAACAAGTACTTAGGTGTGACCATTCATCATAAACTAACATGGCATTAGCACGGCCAAATGGTTTATAATAAATTCAACCAAAGACTGTTCTACCTCAAAAAACTGTACAATTTCGGTTATAAGCAAGCAGGTCGTTAACTTATTCTACCGTGCAACTATTGGAAGCCTGATTAATTTCAATATTACCTGCTGCTGTGGGAATTCAACGTCTGATATTAAACACCGCATAAATCGACTAATCAAGAAAGCTAGGAACATAACACAAACTAAACATCCTTTACTGTAAGAAATATTTGAAGAAAGTTGTTTTTGCAAAACTAAACACATTTTGGATGATACATCCCACCCTCTTCATCAAAGATATTTAGGATCGAGCCGTTTCGGGACGAATTCTTTCCATCAGGGCGAGGACTGACAAATATAAAAATTATTTTGTTCTCCAATCTGTACGAATTTACCGGCGTGCACCCTCTAAAGACACACATCTGAATGAGAACTAATAAGTCCCCGATTTTGCTACGAGAACTCACTGAATGGCTGTTTGAGATCATTTATTATAAGTGTCTTGTCTTCAAATTATTTTATTTTTGAGCTGAAAATGTATAATGCAATAAAAAAAACATGCTCATTTATTTGGATCAATAAAAGAATCGTATCTTATCTGATAGATAGATATTTATATAGAAGGTATACAATTGAGTGGCCAATTAGTCTAAACTGGGCAAATCTCAAGTTGGTGGTCTGGAGATCAATTCCAGCCAGAGCCCAGTCAAGCAAAAAACACCACCAGAACCCCGGGTAGATGGGACTCGTTAACCTGGGAAGGAAACTCATCTAAGAGAAGGAAACTCTGAAATGAAAACCCGGAGATGGAGTCCCGAAAGGTGGATAACATTGATACAATGAAACATTCCGACAACTCCTGCGACGTCACTGGTGCCAAGCTGTATCATACAATGATGTTTCCTTGGGTTATCCAGTGGCGTGGAGAGAGGCGATTTACTGTTGGGAACCAGCTTATAATCCTTGAAGAATAATCCCAGGCCATGTGTATTTCGTCCTCTGAAGCCCACTCCATCGCCACAATTGTTAGTGACGGATGCAAGCAAAAAAAAAAAAAAGAAGAAAGAAATACCTTATTATATTTAAAAAAATTTTTAAAGTAAATCTCACCTATTCTATTTGAATTGTTAACCACTAAGTGATTAAATGCTTGTTAAATAATTGATTTCAATTTTATCGTATCCTTGTTGCTGAAAGTAACTCCATAAAGAACAAATTCAAAATTATGCCAAATTTGTAGTATAAAATTGATACATATGTTATTTCTCTAAACTGAATGTTATTGAAAAAAAATTTTTTTAGAGTGTTTGGTTTGGATCTGTTTTTGTCATCGTTAAAATGTTCAACATAAAAATCTATTTTTGTTCGATGATAAATGAATGGCTGCATTCAAGCTGTGTGAAGGAAAGAGCAGAACCAAGTATGTCAACGCTTGAAATCGAAGGATGTGACAAAACAAGCTTGCACGCAGGTTTTCATGTATCATTCTTTATTCTGAAACACCTGACTTGAACTATCTGTATTCACCTGTCCCCAATCTCGTTGCTTCTTTTATTGTCCTGTCTTTCTAATTTAAGCCTTCCCATACCTTATGCGGATATGTTTTGTTTTTTTTTTGTTTGATGACACGTTTCAATTTACAACTTGAGTCTACTTTTATGTTTATTGTGTTGTTCTTATTTTAGATTGCACTGTTTTATAAAAAAACAATAAATTAAAACACTAATTTGCCTAGTAATGTTATTTAGTTTGAAGCTATTTTTTTTTCTTTAACATTGTCAAATAATTTTTTTAAATTTCGTAATGATTAATATCTACAACAAGTTTAAATTCATCCTTCCTGGTAAGTATTTCATCTTGATAAGAATCATTGTTAATTTTAATTTAATCTCATTACACTATTTATAACAAATTACAACCGACTAGAAATCACAAATATTTAAAAACATGAGGTAATGCACTAGATAGGCGTCGCCACATTGAACTGAACAAGAAGTTTTCAAAAACAAATTTAGATGGTAACGAATATAGAGGTTTTATAAAAATGCACATTTTCTTTTCAATCTTTAAATCATGATATGACAATCTACGTCAACATTCTTGACAAACTAATTAAAAATTTTAAAGACAGTAAAATTTCAAAAAAGGGCTCAATGTAACGTTATGTCATTGTGTCCAGGTTCTAAAACAATAAAACCCCAAAGAAATTTAGTTCATCTTTGGTAATAGAAAAGATGAATGGTAATAGAAAAGATGAACAGGACGAACTTAGCTATTTGCAGAAGGTTTTTTTTTTTTTTTTTTTTAATTTTTATACACGTAAATAAAAATTTTAAACTTTTTTTGTTTTTTTTTTTTAAATTAAACCCCAAAAAGCGGGTTTTGACCTTTAAATTTAATTTGCAGAAGGTTTTTTTTTTTTTTTTTTTTTTACATTTGATACACGTAAATCAACATATTACACTTCTTGTGATTTTTTTGTTTAAACTAAAGCCACAAAAGCGGGATTTGACCTTTAAATTTGCATGCGAAACTTAAAATGATTTCACTGCTCATACAGTGGACCTCAGAGACACTATTAAATGTCAAACGATCAACGTCCTATAATTACACTGAGAGATAATTTTCAATGTTTCATAGTATAAACAAATGTAGGTTATTATGAATCAGCAAAACTTTAGAAGTAAAAAAAAGGCCTGAAGATACAAGATCACGCTAACTTTATAAACGGAAATGTACTTAAGACTATGAAAATGTTAAGAAAATTTCCAAAACCATTTCGTCACATTGTTAAAAACATCAAAGTATTCTTTGTGGACAGAATTATGTAAGAGGCGTCTTACCTGATAGGAACAAGAGCACAAAATTGTTGCGTGTTTAAAAGAAAAAAAAAACATTCAATAAAATTGTTCATTTAATCTCAAACTGATATTGCCCATTAATATAAAGATCCAATGGTAAAAACCAACCATTTAAAAAAAAAAAGAAGATCTTGTCAAATTTTGGGAATGTATTCAAAAGTGTGTATATATATAGGAAATTATAACTACTGTGTATATACACTACTAAAGAATCTCAATTTTGTTTATATATTGGGAAACCTAATTGTAATTAAATGGTTTTAACAACTCGTGTTCAAGATCCAAAAATTCATCGACCATGGGAGGAGTCTTAATCTTTATGTATTTCTTTGTTTTTTATGTGGGACATGCTCACTTTTAAGTTTTATTCTTAATTTTACATTGTGAATCATCGTCAGTAATCACACTTGTACAGCTTTAGCAATTGTATCTCTTTGAAATCAAGATTAAAATGTTGAAATTTTGTAGCCACAAATTAATGTCTTCTGCGTTTGTTTTATTTCTGGTTTCAGCGTTTACTAAATACTTTAAAATATGTATTCATCTTATTCAATCCACGATTAAATCACAGGGGTGAATGAGCGAAGGGTTTTATTTTTTTTTATTTATTAAAGATATATTTTTTTTGCAGGCTCTTAAGAAAGGCTTCTTGCTCTGCAGAATAGTAAGTTGGTTTAAAAACCACACAAATGAAATACAAATTGTGGTTATCTTTTTATATCATAATTACATTAAATACTTAGTCAACAAAGAAGGTTGAAACTTTGAAATATTTATGCCTGTACCGTAAGGATGCCTAAAAAATAAAATGCAAATCTGACTTCTACCCACTCCCCCAAAAGTAAAAAAAAACAACAACCGGCGGATCCAAGTGGGGAAGGTTGAATATTTTAAAATTAATTAATTAATTAGGATTTTGTAGACATCGTAGGCGGCAATTTTTAAAATCCTAATCCAAAGATGTCCATATAATTGTAAATTTAAAAAAAAAAAAAAAAAAAAAAAAAAAAAACTTCTTACTGACACTACTACAGCTTTATTTTTATGTTTTGAGTTTGCATAAGATAGAGATAGATAACAGTTTGTTTTTTTTCTGAATAGCGATCAATGTATTTAAGTAGAAGATGTGAACTGTCCTTAAATAACTTGATTTTTTAAAAATTAAACTTTTTTTCTGTTTTTTTTAAAGCATAATGATGACAACAATTTAATTTTTCAACAGATAATTATTTGTGCCCTTTATTATCCCTTTAGTAAAAGGAGACTTAAACCATATGTGGCAGTGTATGCCCCTAGCAGTGTATGCCCCAACCCACTATTTGACCCGTTACGTAAACCATGTCTGGCGCCCAACTCAAGGCCGCGCGGTGTGTAGTAGCACTGGCGCGGTGCGTAACAGGTATCCCTTTTCACCTTCCCCCCCCCCCCCCCCGGACGGTCACTATACGACCGGCGCATAGGGAGGAAATAATAAAATACCACGATGTGCGCATTGGTTAGAAATTCAATAATTTATTTATCAGGAACCCTAGCGTATTAAGTTATACATTACATCTAGTTAAGACGGGGATTTTATTCACTATACCTTAGCATATTTACAAGTTTCCATCGTTGGAGGATATTTTAATATTTAGTCATTAAAGGAGTTTTCGCCTTCATTTATAGTGGTCCCCACCCCCTTCTAGTTAAAATATCTTAAAAACTATTTAAGTCATAAAAATATAAAATAGCATCTTAGATAGCTAAGACAAAACTGCACAGATTACATATAAGTCGTTAGGGATGTGGATAAAGATTTTAATTATTACTCTGGATTAGTCCCCAGAGTTAGGCATTTTACCCCAGGAAACTGGCCAGAAGGCAAAACTTAGACCGACTCGGTTTAGGTGTGACGTAGGGGCTCTCTGATATGTCCGCGCACGGTTTTAAAAAGGGGAGCACACGAGGTAGGGGTCATTTCGAGCTTTGGTCAGCATACCTGCATTGTGCCTTTGTTCAGTGCGGCCCATTGGAACGCTCTGTAAGTAGAGGCAATTACGCCATTTTTATTTCTTTGTGGTTAGTAGGAACTTGTTGAGTGTTAGCATTGGAAGATTTCTGTTCAGACTTATAACCAGGATAGAGTGTAGGATAACCTACAGCGTGTAGACTTATGCTCATGCTATTTTAAAGGTTAACATACAACCGTTAAATAAATTATGTAATAGGATTAATAAATAGATACCAGTGACCAGGGTTTGTGCGTAACAAACAACTGCATATCGTTCTGGGTGCACATACTGCAATGCGCTTATAAAATAAGCTATTGATACAACAGTATACAACCAGCGAGTGTCCGTCAAATATGTGTAATAGGCTAACTTTCCTGCCTTGTGCTAAATTCTCACATAGGAAATAGTGCATGTGAGGATCACATCCCATATAATTTAACTATGATTCATTCTGCAATCTGCTGTTTTCTTAACAAGACACAGCGATGGACAGATACAAGTATCAAGCCAACGGTAGTCATTTACTGTCCCGCTATGTGTGCCTCTTACATAGACACCATACCTGGATGGCATACTATTATAACTTCAAGATCTTTAAAGTTTACGTTAGCCCTCACATCGCACTCTGGTTCTGTGTGTAGCATTAACACTGTGCACGTGTTTCAAATTAAACACTGCACGTGGTTTCTTTTATAGTTAGAACATTCGTAGTACAAGATAATTATCTTTGCCCTGTGTATGAACCAATACTACTTACGTATCACTTATCATGCTTTCTAGTTAAGTATATGTTGTCGCCACGTGTAATTACGTGGTTATGTAACATGTTTATTATTAGCTATGTTAGTCAGGACATTGTTAACCTGTACTATTTGTTTATTTTCAGATATTGTCCTTTTTCTTTCTCTTTTTCTTTCCCTTTTTCTTCATAGGCTTCTTCTCCATAGTTCATAGTGTCCTTTTTCTTGTTTTCATCATAGGAGAGCATTAATTAAAAAGCTATAGTCCTCAAGACCTGAT